TCCCCCACGTCCCCGCGGCAATGCTGCCGCCCAATGTCATAGACACGGACTTCATCGACGAGGAGGTCCTCATGTCCTTAGTCATCGAAATGGGGCTGGATCGCATCAAGGAGCTTCCCGAGCTGTGGTTGGGACAGAACGAGTTTGACTTCATGACAGACTTCGTTTGCAAACAGCAGCCCAGCAGGGTGAGCTGCTGATTCATTTAAAACAAACAAAGGACTTTTATCGGTGCGAATGAAAACATTCCCCTAGACACGGTGTCTCACTTTTCAGGGCTTGAAAAGGTGAGAATCTGGAAAGCAGAGTCAACTATGCGCTTGTATAATTTTTTTTTTTTTTTATCGCTGCCACTTTTTTTTTTCTTTTTGTAGCTTTGTCACTCACGTCCCCTCCTGTAGTAATAATATCTAGCTAACTCTGCCTTTTTATGTTGGTTGCCCCCCTCCCGACCTCCCACTCTTAATTTCCTCACAGTAACATGCCCAGAATTCCCACAGTGCCGGACTGTTAGATATTAATCTTGGCAAATTGCTTAATCTTGTGGATTTTGTAAACTATGATTTCCAGTGACTTGAACTGCATTCAAATTCTGAGTGAACAGGGAAAAAAAATTGCATTAGTTGGTTGCATGAACTTTGAAGGGCAGATACTACTGCACAAAAGCTGCCATCTTGCTTAATTTTTAACTATGCATTGCAGTGCAGACTAATTTTTTTTTTTCTTTTCTGAATACGCTAAACTGGAAGCTTAACAGATGTGGGCCAAACCTTTCCAGATCAGGAAAAGTAATACTGTTACTTAAAAAGTCTGCTACCCAGTCCCCCTCCCCCATATGTACAGACAATAATATGGTGTGGATGGAATGTTGACTAGTGGCAAACATTTCACAGATTTTTTTTTTTTAATTTTGTTTCTGTCTTCAGCGTTTTGACACTGTGCTAATATAGTTTATTCAGTACATGAAAAGATACTACTGTGTTGAAAGCTTTTCAGGAAATTTTGACAGTATTTTTGTACAAAACATTTTTTTGAGAAAATATTGTTAATTTATTCTATTTTAATTTGCCAATGTCAATAAAAAGTTAAGAAATGCTTTAGTTTTTCTAGAAGTCATTTACCAGTATTTTTCTTCAAAACTTTTCCCCACTGTCCCTGGTAAGTAGAACATAACATCTTATCTGTACAACCGTGTTGGTGTGCAAAAAGACATTCCAAGATAGAAAGTACACTACACCCATATATATGTCATGGTGAACTCGGTAGGTGAGCGGGATTTGAACATACTTACAGCATAAAGCCTCATGCGTTACATTGTAATATGCCTGTCAGTGTGGTTTTCTGAAAAATAAAGTTGCCGAGGGCGCAACTTTTTTTTGTGACTTGCCAACATACTTGCTTTAAATGTAGTTGTCCAGAGTTATGATGCATAAAGTATTTATTATATTTATCTATTAAACTTGTAATTTTATAAATCTGCTTTCATTTATATAGTAGACTTTGTTCTTTTGTATATTTGTTATCTCACCTGGAAGAGCTATGTAAAAAGTGTTTGTAACGTGGGGAGGGAGGGTGGTGGGTGTCACCCTCTGCCTCTCTCTTACCTCACAGGGTAACGCAGGATACTGCTGCATCAATCCAGATCTGCGTGACACTGGAACCAGTTTCATTTCATTTCCAGTGGCTTAGGAGAAGGAGAATATATGATTGAAGGATTCCACAGTGGGACATCTCTGACCCCCCTCCCCCAGGAATTGCTGCCACCTGAAGCCACTGACACAAATACATACAGGTCTACTTAAAATATTTTGGAGAAAAGTGCCCATTATTTAAAGGCAGCTGACATTTAGTGCCAACTGTTGCTGCCTTCTGCCCTCACTCGGCCTTTGGCAAAGCTCCTGCACAAGTTATTAGTTTGGTGAGGGCTGTGGGATCAGGACCCTAATAATACATGTAATCCTGTTTAGCCATGCTTCCCAAGTTCCACAGAGGAGCAGTACCACTGAGCCTTCTTTTTGCTTACTTTTTAATCCTTGTCTTCTGAATTAGCAAGAAAAACAGCATGGTGGATGTAGTTAAATTTTAAACCTGGTCACGGAAACAGGAGGATATCACCACACAATGGGAGTGTAAATAGCAGTGTTTTGAATCAAGCTGGGAAATTAAAGTGATTACTATTTCTAAGATTGCCCCAGCTGGTGAGAAAAGTGATACTTGTCCTTCTTTGCCTTACAGACAAAAAGCAGCTAACATGTTTATGGATGAAAAAAAGGTAAATATTAAAGTATTAGCAAAGGTAAAAAGAAGGAAGTGTATGCTTCTGGGAAAAACTGAGATGACAAAAACGCACTCTGCAGGCAGTGACAGTCCATTCCTAGAAAACTCAATACCAAGAATTTTAAAAAAGCAGCCTTGTGGTTTCAGCCAGTGATTGCTAATGTTTTGTGACAGTTAATTTTACATCAAATGACAGTAAATCATAACTTACCAACTCACCAATAACGTAAAAGAGCGTTTAGAAGACTACAGCTGTAGTTTTAAGAGCCATTGCCCAATTTGCCACTATATAAATCCTTTTTCCGTTTTAAGGCTGTTTGATCTGCGCACATTTCATTGCCCTCTTCTGCGGGAGTTAGGGTGATTCTTCTGATTCTAATCAACTTCTTGTAAAACAGACTATCAAATTATGTGCATACCAAATTGCATAGATGTTTAAAGCCTCAATGATCTTCTAAAACCAAAGGGAATACTCTCACTTTAATGATAGGCACTTTTGCTTCATAAAGTTGGTTAAACAACAGATTCTTCACAGTTGAGACATCACTACTTAAGTCTGTCAACATTAAATCCTTCCATGCAAGATTTTTTAAGAGTAGGCAGTTCCATGGGCATACTGGTAGAGTGTATTTGTGTACAACTCTATGTAAAACTGAGGGCTGCTGCCCCTGAGTACCAGCAGCTACAGAAAGCACTGGCTTTGGGCAAGGCATCGCTAAGGGGTTTTATGATTTCTTAAAAGTAGACCCTGGGGAAATTTGCCAAACAATCATTGTCTGCCTTGTCCCTTAATTTTTAATGAAGAGTCAGATCCCAGTGGATACCACAAGTGTGTATTTTTTTTATTCATTATATCATCTACTCAGCAATATTGGGGGCCTGACCCTCATCTTGCCGACATGAACCCCTTGGCAATGCTCCCACTGGCTCCCATGGCTGAGGCAGTTACAGGCTTTCAAGTAGATCCTCTCCACGCGCTTCCAAAGAGACTAAAGTAATTTATAATTGGAACCCAGCGATTAGTGAAGGATGCAGAGTGACCCAGTTCTCCAGCTCCTCACGAAGGACACTGCCGTCTCACATCCCGCTGTTGCTGTCAGTACAGGAAACTTGACCTCTGTACGTTGGCTGTTTTTCAAGAACTTCCAACATGGTACATGAGATCTGCTCCTCTTTAAGCCACGGCCAGAAATAGACGCGCTGCTTTATTTGGACGGCAGATCAGCCCTAAGCCGGCCCGCCACGCAACGCGCGCTCGGTGGGAAATTAGGCACAGACTGACGCCGTCCTCGTCCTTGCTCCCCGGAGTCAAGAATTCACGGGTGGGCGCTGGGCTGGAGGCCGCAGGAGGGGCGGCTGTCCGCTCACCGAAGGGCTGGGGCGCCGCGGCAGCCCCGGCCCGGCCCGGCCCGGCCCGGCGCGGCCCCTCAGCCACCTGCTCGGGGCGGCCGCGGCGCCAGCGCGCCCCCCGGCGGCGGCAGCGCGCTCTGCGCCGGCCCGCTGAGGGCGGGCGGGGGGCCGAGAGCCGCCCCCGAGCCGGGAATGTCCGTCCCCGCCGGAGCCAGGGGCTGTGCGGGGCCAGCGGCCCGCAACGAGGCCTGCCGGGACACAGGAGGGGCCCGGCTCTCAGCCAGGGCAGCCGGCGCAGTGCTCGTCACTGCCGTGCCCGAGGGACCCCCGGAGAGCCGCGCCCACCGAAGGGGACCCTCCCCAGCACCCGGCCCGAGGGGGTGCGGGCCCTAGCGAAACTTCTCGGTGCGGATCTGGAAAAGAAGCACACAAACCTGGTGAAAGCATGCCTGTTGGTCTCAGGTTTTATTAAAAAAAAAAAAAAAAAAGAAAAAAGAAAAAAAAGGAAAAAAAAGAAAAAATTAAAAGAAAAAAAAAAAAAGAAAAGTTATATAAACAAGGATTATCCCCTGCTTATCTTTTCTTGCTAGGGGGATTGGAAAATTCCAACATCTGGATTTGCGGAGTTCCTTTCATTTGTTTCATTTTTTAGTCACTCTTTTTTTTCCTTTTTCACTTTTTCCCCAGGGAGATGTTTTCCGCACTCAGCTGGATACAAAGCCCTGTGCATCGCTGGTGTTCAGTTAAAGGCTTGTGTCTGTGGAGCCCCACAGATGTAGTTCATCAGGGCATAGGTGACTTCTGCATCAACATCTGGCTATAGGAGTCATCCTATTCCAACCTTGTTCCTGCCCTCTTCCTACTGCCCTCTGCCTCTGTTTCCTCCTGACTGTGTGGGACACCAGGGCTTAACGTGTGAGCTGGTACCCAACGGGACAATACACCCTTGTATCAGAAACTCCAGCAAAGTCGTGGGTCACAAGCACTGAGCAGAGAGAAATGAAGTCAGAAAAAGCAGTTCGTGTCCCTGACCCTACTGTTGTCCCTTTTGAAGCCTTCATTTCTTCAAAAATACTTTGGCTTTACTGCAGACAGGAATAAGAAATGCCAATGTTACGGATCTGGGCTACACACACCGACCTTAGCCAGATCTATTTCTGTATCATCACTCACAGGGATAGCAGTGTGAACAAGGACTAGGTAACATTGACAGGAGCTGTTTAAATGATAAGACAAAGTATTTTTTAAATAGTCTGGCAGATATATTTGTCAGATAACAGTGCACGTGCAATAAAACTCAGATGAGGAATCAGAGGAATTTGGAACCTGAGGCAGCAGCATTTTCTCAGGATTTCATGTATTCTAAGTGCATCATTTTGTCAGTAAAGAGGAGGTGTTTTACATAGTTTATGAAAATATATTTACACATTTCAATATGGTGTCACTATTGTGCTCACGCACAAGATAAAGCTGAGTCTCAGTAACTGCAACAATAAAGAGATACATCAAGTGGCTGAACAGATGAGCTGCTGTTATGGTACGTTCCCCGTTACTCTCTTTGCCTCATTTTAGAAAAAAATTGCAACACCAGGTTTTTAATAGAGTTGGTTCAATCCCTTTCCATCTGCTGTGCCTTCCCCCCTCTTAAAAAATTACAGAGGGCCAATTTGATCACAGGCCTGATACAGATTTTGAAAGACTTATTTACCATATAAAAACCAAGCAAAACATTTTCCGCCTTATCGGTCTTCATGAAATGCTAACTGCTTTTCACACCTTTTTCTTTCACTGGAAACCATTTTGTTATCTCTCTCTATTGGAGTGTTCATTTGGCAACATATTGCCCATTTTATAAGCAGTGAAGTAAAATAAAAGAAACTTTCAGAATTGTGAAGTTCCTAAAACTGTGTATGAAGTTATTAGTGCCAGTACACAGCCTTTCCTAAGCTCAAAAGCTAATTATTGAGCAGATGCTCATTGTGAGATGAGCATAAGATGCTAAGGGCAGTTTTGACCAAGAGCCTCCTAAGAATTGCCTCATGAGTTTTCTGCTGCAGGCTGCTTTGCTAGCAATAAGTGCACTGTGCAGGAGATGGGGACATTTCTGAGAGTATATAAAATGTCTTATCTGCTGCTATTCAAACACAAGTAACACAGGGTATTTCAGATTTCACTCACTCTCTCTGCCAGGATACGTATTTAAAGGCTTGATAGTCAAAATCTTTTCTATTTACTTCAAGTTACATTATTTGGTCTAATAAGTGATATTATCTCTGTCTACAAACCTCATACACTTATATGCCCTCCATCAACTTTACATGAAGTAGAGTATGTATTTGAAGACAGAAATTAATTCCTAGGATTTCCCAATGCTAGGGAAAGACGCCAAGCTTTTGCACACATCTGCTTTGTACAGAAACTAAATAGCTATATTTAGGTTCCTTATAGGATTATAAGGGTTATATAGTTATATTTTGGGTTCCTTATCAGCAGGCTGCACTAAGGCTAGTGTGTGATCCAACGAGGAGATGAAGGGTAATGTTCAAATCCAAAGTCTTTCTAAGTAGCAGGCTGAAAAAAATTAGTGACCACAACACAGAAAGTTTTAGGGAAAAGGTCTGAAGACCAGTAAAGCCTTAACCACATTCTATGAACTGGTGCCTATCAGTGGAGTAGTCAGGACAGATTGGTTTTGCTCATCATGTCTGATGGGGCATAACACTGTATGCCAGAAAAGTGGAAAATTCGAGAAAACATGAGGCATTGACATGTTAACCTTCTTCACAGACCATTATTTACAAGAAAAACCTGAATTTTCTTAGGTGAATATAAGTGAGCAAAGCTGCTGCTGGATGGAGCCAA